TCTTTCTTTCCTGCTTCCCCCAGCCCATGTCTCCCCAGGTGCCTCTATTCTGTCATCCCTACCTCTCCTGCTCTCCCAGACAGTTCTTTCTGGGCAGTGGGCCTGGGCAGGACCCTGAACACTTTGGGGACTCCTTCAGCAGCCTGTCAGCTGCACCCTGCTGTAGACTCAGCTGTGAGGACTCTCAGCTTCAGGGCAATGTGACCTCAGGTCACCAGCCTTGGTTCCCAGAGAGGAAGCCCCAGGCCACCCTGAAGCCCTGTTGCCTAGAGGGCCCAGGCCGAGCCTTCACAAGGAGAAAGCTCAGTGCCAGAGTCATGCCTATATGAGCTGGTAGGGGGAGGGGCTGCTGAGGAACACGGAGTGGGTACACCCTCAATACTCATAGGATGAGCCCAGCATCATTGAGCCTTCTACCTGTGCCACAACTCACCTCAAATGAGGGGAAATTCAAGCCCAGGGAGGATCACAAGAGGCCCAGTGGACAATCACTGAATACATGCAGGTATTCCACATCCCTCCAGGGGCGTGGCTCCTGGACATGACTCTCTGAGGACCAGTACCTTCCCTCCATCCCAGGCCTTACTATAGCAGGACTCTGATACACTATCCCCAAACCCCACCAGGCATCTAGCTCTCTCAGAGCAAGCAGACCCACCTAGGGGAGCAGAGCCTGGCTGCCTCCTGGCTTTATGGCCTCAGCCGGACACAAGTAAGTTCCCTTCCTGGACCTCAGTTTTCTTGTTTGTAAAATGGATGAGAAATGCCTCTTGTGAACCCTGCTGCAGGGTTTCTGAGACTGTGTATGATGCTCTTCCCATGCAGCCTGCAGCCCAGGTGCTCCAGTGCTAGTCTCTTCCCTTTTCTGACTGGTTTATGGGCCTGCCTGGGTACACTGGGCCACCAGACACTGCCTATGGGGCAGCATGAACCTCAGCAGCTCTCCCACCACATGCACAGGTGATCCCATCTCCCTTCCTTCTCCACTAGTTGTCCTCCCCACTAAATGTGAGGTGCCAGTCAGATGAGCCAAGCAGCCCAGGGCACCCTCACATTCATTACATAGATAGATCCAGCCCCAATGAGACTTGGATTCAGTCCTCAGCCCCTTCCCGTGTTCCCAGACAAGGCAGGATGTTGACTGTCCAGCTGTAGAAAGTCTTGTTTCTGCTGTTAGCTCCCTGGGAGACTCTGAACCCAATGCCTCTCTGTGCAGTGAGGGAAATGGGCCAGGGAGAGCAGGCATTGCCTGGGGCATGCAGCAGGTGGACACAGAGATCTGCACACAGCCAGTGTCAGGCAGCATTATCTGAACCAGGCCACATCCACCCCAGGACATGAGTGAGGGTGTGGGTGGTAGCTGGCAGTCCATCCTGCAGGGACAGCTTAAAGCTGGGTCTTGACCTGCAACTCAGGCTGATGGCTCAGCTGCCTCCCCAGCCCTGATTTGGGACTGGGGAGGATTCAGGCCACTGCAGGGTCTGGGCATCATGCCCTGGGCACTGCTGTCCTCTGCCTGACACCTGCCTGTCTTTGATGTTTATTTTCTTTGTATTTATTGTTCTAATTTTGAATTCTTACCCTTATGAGAAGCCCTTCAGGGGGCAAGGATCCGAAATACAGCACTGATTAAAATGCATAAAGTACCTCACTGAGTGCAGGAGCCTTAGATTGCTGGGGCCTGATGGTGAGTTGCACATTGCATGAAGCAGGCTGGTTGACCCCATCGCACATGATCCCTCAACATGCTATATACTAACAGGGACCCCATGGGATGTGAGTCCAAAAGCCTAAACCCAGCATGTTCTGCTGTTTGCTGCGCTGGTGTGGGCAGACATCCTAGCCTCCCAGGGCCTCAGTTTCCCTATCTTTCAGGACAGCCATCTGTAAAAGACAGGGCCTCATGGGCTGGGGAAAAAACTCAGTTGGTAAAATGCTTGTCTTGCAAGCATGAGGACCTGAGTTCAGATCCCCAGCACCCACATAAAAAGCTGGGTGCAACTGTGTGCTCCTATAATCCAAAGACAGAGGGGTCTCTGGGACTTGTTGGCCAGCCAGTCTATCTGAATTGGTGAGCTCTAGGTTCAGTGAGAGACCCTCCTGACAGTGAGTGTCATAATACAAGGTGGGGCACGATGGAGGAAGATGCCTAACATCAACCGCTGGCCTTCGCATGCACACACACACACACACACACACATGCACGCGCGCGCACACACACACACACACACACACACACACACAGAGGGGGAGATAGGGGAGATGAAGCATTTCAGAGGAGGCGCATGCAGAAGCTATCCTGAGCTCATGGAGCAGGGCCGTTGCTCTGTGGCACTAACTTCCTGGTTTGGTGTGGTAGCTGTACAGGCAAGGCTGCTCAGCTTTTCCACCGTTTTTTAATACCCTGGATTTCCTTGCTCAGTGGGCCTGCTCTAAGGTCAGCCCCATCAGGGGGCGTCCAGCCCTATAACAACTTACTCTTATGCATGCACTGCCTCTCACAGAACATTCATTAGTGTGTGTTCTGTACCACACATTGAGCTCCTCACTCTAGCAGGTGAGGCACATGCAGCTGGGACTGTGGCAGTTTGACCCGGAATTGAATGTGTAGTACGTGCATTACATGGTGGCTGGAGAACAACCACCAGGTACTGAAGCTTTGGCGCCTGTTTCCCTCTTTGCTCTGGGGAAACTGAGGCTTTGGCACATGTTTCCTTCTTTGCTCCTGCTTTGGTCACCAGGGTGCTCTACTCTTTAGTCCATATGCAGGACTATATGGCATTATTCCTGGCTGCCTTCACATCCTTCTTTTTGATCTTGTTATCCTCTTGTACCTAACTTTTCTCTCAACTGGCCCAACTCTCTTTTGGAATGAGGTGGGCCACACAGCCATTCCATACCACTACACTGAGCAGGTCAGGGATGGCTTCAGAGAGGAGGTGGCTTTGGGGTGGAAGGCCAAAAAGGTGGCAGGGACAGTTCTCTAAAAGGACACAGCTTAGAGGCAGGAATGTGCGGACAAGGTGGGACTCCCGGATAGCTTTGCAGGTGGGAGAGGTGGTGGGTCAGTGGGGTTGGTCGACGCTTCAGTTGGCACACGCAGGTCTGCACCTCGAGGGGCTTGCCAGCATGTCCAGCTCCTCACTCTCCCCTCTCCTTCCTCAGTGTCCTCTCTGGCAGTTCCCACACAAGTCCAATCCTGAGCTGGGTGCTAAAAGTCCTATTTACCTCTTGAGGTCCCTAGCTTCACACCCGTGCCAGCCCCAGCTGCTGGCCCAATTACTTATTGATCGCCTGTCAGGATGTTTGCTTTTCTGGTGGGTCACTGGAGCGTGTGTGACTGTGGAAAATGGCCCTGTGGGGGCAGGGTAGGGAGAGACTGAGACACAGAAGAATCGGGAGAGAGGATAAGGGGGTGGGTGGACAAAGCCCTTGGGGATAACAAAACCGTCCAGATTCCATAACATGTCAGTGACACCCTGAGCCCTCTCTGGTTAATCAGTCACTTAGTCGATCAACAACCAGGAAGTACCTGTCAGTTCTTGAAGACCAGTAGAGCATTTGAAAGTGTGTGGTGTCAGTGGAGCCAGAGCTCCTGTTTCAAATTGGTCCCTGCTACTGGCTGAGTGGCAGCCATAGTCTCTCAGAGCCTCAGTTGCCTTTCCAGTTGAGAGGGATGGCAAATTGAATGAGTTGTGGCCTTAAAGGCAGAAGCTATGTCAAGGGGTGGGAAAGAGCCCAAGCTGAGTAAAGGTGGGACTCCCAAACCTGTCCTCCCCATCTTGCAGTGAACCCCAGAGGGCCATGGGTTTGGGACTGAACTCGGTAGTGAAGCCCATCAGGGCTGGATGAGCAACATGGGGTTTTCACCCCACTGGTAGTGGTAGGCTGCAGTAGGCCCCTATTTTAGTGTATCTTAAAGCCCTCTTGGCCTCTCCCACCCCATCTCCTGGCCAGTTTCCCACAGAGGGGGCAGGAGACCGGCCAGGCAGCAGCAGGAACAGGTAGTTCCTGAATGGGGCTGACTCCTGCACACACCCCACTGACTCCACCTGCAGCCCCCAGTAGTCCCTGATTGATCTCATTTCTCAGTCACTACCCACCAAGTCCTGTATGTCTTAAGGTCCAGCTTTAACCAGCCTGGTTCCCTCAGTGGTACAGTGTGGATGGGTACCTGTAAGATTGTCCATTCTGGCTACAGATGTTAGACCAGTACTGCACAGGAACCTAGTGGTGGGAAGAGGTGATGGGAACCCTGAGAAGCAGATAAGTAGGACTTCTGAGGGGGGCATCCTTCATCTTGGAGACCAGAAAAAGCTTCTCAGAGCAGCAGACTTCAAGTTGAAGTCTGAAGCAGTTGAATCTTCAAGCCAAGATTTCTTCAGACCAGAGAAGTGGCAATTTAGAAGGAAAGAGTAGAGGGTTAAGGGCAGAGGGCAGAGACACACTCATACCCTGGACTGAGGAACTGAGCTTCAGTGCTAGGACCATGTGGAAGGAGGGGTTTCACAAGACCCCAGGTGTGATCTGCAGGTACAGAGGCTTCCTGTCTGTGTCCTGGCCATCCGGCCAGGGAGCAGATTGTGACCTCTACAGTACCCAGGGTTTGCAGACCACCCAGGACTCAGTGGCAGGACTGGGTAGAGAGGGGCATGGCGTCTTCCAGGGTGTAGTTCCCAGCATCCTCGGAGCCTTTGCCCTGCAATCTGGGACCAGGCATGCTCCCCCTCAAACCCCTCTCAGGGCTATTGTCAGAAACCTGGCCTTTAGCCCTTTGTTCCCCTCTGTGAGCCCAGACAGCCCAGCAGGGCTGGCTTTATCCCTGATGAAGCTCTGAGGGAGTTGAGACTCAGGGAGTGCTGGAGTGAATTGCCTATGAACCCTAAACTAGATGGCACCACCCCTTTTCTGTAACTTCTCCATCAGGGATGGTGGGCCAGGATCCAGCAAGATACTGCTGCTAACTGCCACCTCTGTCCTGTGCTTGCTTCTGGCTGCAGGTGAGCGAGAGGATGCTGGCGGGGGGCGTGAGGAGTGTGCCCAGCCCCCTCCTGGCCTGCTGGCAGCCCATCCTCCTGCTGGTCCTGGGCTCTGTGCTATCAGGCTCTGCCACAGGCTGCCCACCCCGCTGCGAGTGCTCAGCCCAGGACCGCGCCGTGCTCTGCCACCGAAAGCGCTTCATGGCAGTTCCTGAGGGCATCCCCACTGAGACTCGCCTGCTGGACCTGGGCAAGAACCGCATCAAGACACTCAACCAGGACGAGTTTGCCAGCTTCCCACACCTGGAGGAACTGGAGCTCAATGAAAACATTGTGAGCGCTGTGGAGCCTGGCGCCTTCAACAACCTCTTCAACCTGCGGACGCTGGGGCTGCGCAGCAACCGCTTGAAGCTTATCCCTCTGGGTGTCTTCACTGGCCTCAGCAACCTGACCAAGCTGGACATCAGTGAGAACAAGATCGTCATCCTGCTAGATTACATGTTCCAGGACCTGTACAACCTCAAGTCACTGGAGGTCGGCGACAATGACCTTGTCTACATCTCCCACCGAGCCTTCAGTGGCCTCAACAGCCTGGAGCAGCTGACACTGGAGAAATGCAATCTGACCTCCATCCCCACAGAGGCGCTGTCCCACCTCCATGGCCTCATTGTCCTACGACTTAGACACCTCAACATCAATGCTATCCGGGACTATTCCTTCAAGAGGCTCTACCGGCTCAAGGTTTTAGAAATCTCCCACTGGCCCTACCTGGACACCATGACCCCCAACTGCCTCTACGGCCTCAACCTGACATCCCTGTCCATCACACACTGCAATCTGACTGCCGTGCCCTACCTGGCTGTGCGCCACCTGGTCTATCTCCGCTTCCTCAACCTCTCCTACAACCCCATCGGTACCATTGAGGGCTCCATGCTGCATGAGTTGCTCAGGCTACAAGAGATCCAGCTGGTTGGTGGGCAGCTAGCCATGGTGGAGCCCTACGCCTTTCGTGGGCTCAACTACCTACGTGTCCTCAACGTCTCCGGCAACCAGCTGACCACTCTGGAGGAGTCAGCCTTCCACTCGGTGGGCAACCTGGAGACCCTCATCCTGGATTCCAACCCGCTGGCCTGTGACTGTCGGCTGCTGTGGGTATTCCGGCGCCGCTGGCGGCTCAACTTCAACCGGCAGCAGCCCACGTGCGCCACGCCTGAGTTTGTCCAGGGCAAGGAGTTCAAGGACTTCCCTGACGTGCTCCTACCCAACTACTTCACCTGCCGCCGCGCCCGCATCCGGGACCGAAAAGCCCAGCAGGTGTTTGTGGATGAGGGCCACACAGTGCAGTTTGTATGCCGGGCAGATGGCGACCCACCACCTGCCATCCTTTGGCTCTCGCCCCGCAAGCACTTGGTCTCGGCCAAGAGCAATGGGCGACTCACGGTCTTCCCCGATGGCACGCTGGAGGTGCGCTACGCCCAGGTACAGGACAACGGCACGTACCTGTGCATTGCAGCCAATGCGGGTGGCAATGACTCCATGCCTGCCCACCTGCATGTGCGCAGCTACTCGCCCGACTGGCCACATCAGCCCAACAAGACCTTCGCCTTCATCTCTAACCAGCCGGGCGAGGGAGAGGCCAACAGCACCCGCGCCACCGTGCCTTTCCCCTTCGACATCAAGACCCTCATCATCGCCACCACCATGGGCTTCATCTCCTTCCTGGGCGTCGTCCTTTTCTGCCTGGTGCTGCTGTTTCTCTGGAGCCGGGGCAAGGGCAACACAAAGCACAACATTGAGATTGAATATGTGCCCCGGAAGTCGGACGCAGGCATCAGTTCTGCGGATGCGCCCCGCAAGTTCAACATGAAGATGATATGAGGACGCGGCGGGGGGCAGGGACCCCCCCAGGCACGCTGGGCAGGGAAGGGGCCTGGCTGCTGCCTGCTTACTCCCAGCCCTTCCCACCTCCTCCCTGCCTTCCACACACTCTCGCCCTCCCTTCCTCCTCGCCCCTGCTGCCCCGCCAGCCCTCACAGCCTGCCCTCCTTCTACCAGGACCTCAGAAGGCCAGGCCTGAGGACCCCACCTGCACAGGGGCCAGAGTTGACAGACGAATCCAAAGCCGACAGCAACACGGCAGTCAATAATTCAATTTAAAAAAAGTTACAAACTTCCTCTGTAACTTGGGTTTCAATAATTATGGATTTTTATGAAAACTTGAAATAATAAAAAGAGAAAAAACTATTTCCTATAGCTAGTCGGAATGCAAACTTTTGACGTCCTGATTGCTCCAGGGCCTTCTTCCAACTTAGTTTCTTGTTTTTCTCTTCCTCCTCCTCTTCCTCCTTTCTCTTCTCTTCCCCTGTGGGGAGGGATCACTCAGGAAAACAGGAAAGGAGGTTCCAGCCCCACCCTCCCACCCACCCCACCAGGCACCATTAGGAGCAGTTGGGTGGCAGCTGTCTGTCTGGGTCCAGCTCTGGGCTGGCTTTTGGCAGGAAGTGGGTGGAGGGGACAGGACTGCCCGAAGATGGTGGGGCCTGTCTGCTGGGCTGCCAGGTAGCACTACCACAGGGAGGTGGAGGCCAGGCTGGGGTGTGGCTGAGACACTGGACAGGGGCTGGGGTCCTCCTGGGGGAACAGCACAGTCAGTGGAAAGAGCCAAGAACCAGAGGTAGGCTTGAGACCTTGTCTCTGGTCCCAGCTCGGCTGCTCATTTGCTGTGTGACCTCAAGCAGGTCACTGGTCCTCTCTGGGCCTCAGTCTCCACATCTGTAAAAATGGGAACATTATCCCTGCCCTGCCTACCTCACAGGGCTGTTGTGAGGAATTGATGAGATGATGTATGTGAAACACTTTGTAATCTGTAAAGCGCTGTGCACATGTGTGGGTGACTGCTCTCATTATGGTCATTATTCTCTCACTATGGGGGATGGGATTTCTGTGGGGTCAGGGCTGGGGAGTGGGGTCCAGGGGGAAGGACAGCTCCTGGAGCTTCCAGAGGTTCTTCCTGGGACATGGGATAAGCTGGAGAGCCAGGGCTTTAGCTTCCACAGAACATGGTAGATTCTCCTACCTCTGGCCAGCAGGCCCCCTAGACAGAAACTCCAACCAGCTACAGATATTGGGAGTGTCAGCACTCGCCAAGACTTATGTCCACAGCATTTATTTTGCACCTGCTGTATGCCACTTCCTGTGTAGAGTGCTTAGGCTAGAGGGCCATTCTGAGACTGCCTAGGGACAGCCCAGACAAAGTCTGTCATCAGGCTATGTCCATCTTTCCACAGGGCCATGCTCTGGGCCTACCCTGGGTTGGGAGGTGGGGTGGGGCTTTGGATTTGGACCTGGGACTACCTGCCCCTAAACTGTCCAGGAGGACTAGACTGTTGCCCCCACCTGGACCACAATCCAAACCCAGATACTCCCAACTCAGCCAAGGAAACAGATACCCCGAACAACCATGATCAGCCAGTGGTCCTTCATTGCTTTCCCAGAACCCCTGGGCCCTGGCTTGGCCTGCAGACCTCATGTCTGTGGGCAAGGAGGGCATGGGCCAGGGACACTTGGCCTCTCTACTCTAAGCTTCCTCCTGGGGACAGCTTCATTTCAGCTCCATGTGGGCCAAGGGCGACCTGTCTCTCATCTATCCTCCAGCTAAGGGAGGACTGCAATGATGTGGGGGAGCCAATGGGCACAGACTCAGCTAAGGGAGGATTTGGAGCATTAGGGAAGTCAGCCCTCAGCATCAAGAAATTGCCACAATGAGGGTGGGGAGTGGGAAGTGTGGGGGGTGGAGAGATGGCTTAGTAATTAAGCCCACTGGCTGTTCTTGCAGAGGACCTGGGTTCAGTTCTCAGCACCCACATGGTGGCTAACAATTGTCTGTAACTCTAGTTCCAGAGGATCTGATTCCCTCTCTTGGCCTCCATGGGCATTGCACACATGTGGTACACTTACATACATGCAGGCAAAACATTCATACACATAAAAATAAAATTAAAAAAAAACTGTCACTGGGCATGGTGGCACACACCTTTAATCCCAGCACTCAAGAGGCAGAGGCAGGTGCATCTCTGTGAGTTCCAGCCTGGTCTACATAGTGAGTTCCAGGACAGCTGGGGCTACCTGGTGAAACAGTCTGAAGCCAGCACTCAGTCCTTTACTCATTCATTCATCCTCAGGTATCATTGAAATGGCTCTGCTTCTAGTTTGTTCAAGGATATATGTGGCCCCAGCCAGCGGGCCTGGCCCTGCCCCACTCTCCCAATCACTGCCCAAGATCACCTGAGATTTTGGGAAGACTTGGCCCTCTGGTGACTTTCCCCCATAAGATCTTCGAATTTTGATGAAGAGAAGGTAGAGATCCCTGGGGGAAGCCTAGACCTAGAAGGCTCTGAGGCCCAAGGTCAGGTCTGAGTGAAGTTCTAGTTCTGCCACTTGTCAGTTGGACAGGATTGCCCTCAACTCCTCTGAGCCTCAGTTTCTTACCTGCAAAATAAAGATAATCTTCCTACTTTGCTGGTTAGGAGGATCGAATGAGGAAGGGGTGTGTTTGTTGACAGGCACAGTGATGGTAACGGCTGATGATTACTGTCAAATCTAACTCTAGTGCACATAACATACAGAGGATGAGGACCAGAGACACCAGTAACCAACCTGAAGCCAGTTAGACCCTAAGAGACAGAACCAGGACCTGCTTTCGGACTCCCAGAGCCAAAGGGGAAGCCTGACTTGGTGCTTCCCCAAGCCATGCTGAGACAGGAGAGCCCTGTGGGGAAGCTGAGGGACTGGAGGAGTAGGGGCCCAACTTGTGAGCAGCCTGTATACAAAAACAAGTCATGTTACATGAGGTGTCAAGAACCCCACAGGCTTTCCATCTCCCGAGAAAGACCAGAGCAAAGGCTTACAACCACCTAACCTGGAGAAGCAATTGGAATGCCCTTCTTCCTCAAGAGGTTGTGCATCGAACTGTCACATGATAAAACCCAGGATGCTTCCAGGTACTGCTGGGAGTAGTGGAGCTAAGGTGTCAACTTACTCATTCTTAGGTTGCCAAGTTGGAGAGGCTTAGTTTGGGGAAGGGATGGGTGCTCAAGGTCATAGGATGGGGTTGATTCAGACTGGGAGCCAGGAGGCCTGGTGAGTTTCAGTACAGCCTATCCTTATATAGAAGTGTCATGTGTAGAAGAGGGCAGCAAACCCCACTATAGCCATGAGCCCTGTCAGGGTCCTGGGAGGCATCCTGGAGACCCAGGCTTTGGAGGCCACTTCTCCATGCCCAGCAGTCTTTTGAGGGGATAAAGGTTCTGGCCTGGAATCTGAACCCACAGCTGGGTGGAGCCAGAGCCTTCTTGGCCTCCCTCCATCCCACCACAGTTCCAGTGCCCTGCTCTATGCCTACAACCCAGCCAGGATGTCCTGCCTCCCCAAACACTGCAGGGGGCTACGCTCAGCTCACCTCTCCACATGGGACCAAGGGAAGAGATCACAGGAAGCTATTGAGGGAAAGGCAGGACCTGAAATCCTGAGGGTCCACCCTCCTTTCAGCAGACACCACTGCCATTTGCTCCTCCAGGAGCAGGGCAGGCCTTAGAAGGATGATGGAACTGGGAACCACTCTCACCAAGCAAGTGGACTGGGCCAGGATGACATCCAGGAGGTAGGCACTAGAGAGCAGCAAACTCCAGGACCCCTCCCCCATTTACTTCATAAGTCAAAAGATGAGGCTCAGAGAGGGGAAGAAATCTGGCAGCAGAGGCAGGTGGATCACAGGCTTTACAGTCAGGCTGACTTTGGTTCAAATCCCATCACCACTGAGCCCCCTGTACAGAGCAGATTTCAGAATCCTGTCCCCAGGGTGTCTGAGAAGATAAGAGACTGTGTTATATGGTATATAGCATCTATTTGAGGTATGCTAGTGATCGCTGTGATTAGGCTGACATCTTTACAGGCAAACGGAGAGGTGGCTGACCAGGAACCAGGAATGTCGAGGATTTGGCAGAACCTGACAGGTATCCAGAAGCACTGGGTCTCCAAGTAGGGTCCATTAGAAGCCAAGCCTGGTCATTCCCTCCAAATTGTGTCTCACAGTCTCAGGCCATATGAAGAGGCAGGGAGCAGGCCAACCATCAGCCTGTCTGTCCAGGATAGAGAGAGCAGCCATACTCAGGGCCCTAAAGGAGAGAGCTACACCTGTGTGTATTGAGAGGAAAAGGTCACAGACAACAAGGTAAAAAGAATCAGAGGAGCAGCACCTTTTATCTGGTGTTAGAAGTCCCTAGGGGAAGTTTTGACACTATCTAGCCAAGGGGTTTTGAGACTTTTAAGACCTGACATCAGGGTTCAGGTGGCACATGTGCAAGACAGGTTATGGAATGTGGCTCAGCTGGTAGAATACTTACCTAGCATGCACAATGCCCTACATTCAATCCTTGGCACCATATAAACACGTGTGGTGGTGCATGCCTATAATCCCAGCACTCAAGGGATAGAGGTGGGACGATCTGGAGTTCAAGGTCATCGTCAGCTAAATAGTGAGTTCAAAGACGGCACAGACCAGCCAGAGAGTTCAGTGACATTCTGAGCCTCACACACCCTGGGTGCCTGGTCAACTTACCTACTTCCCTCCCCAGTTTGGTGTCCTCTGATGACATAATGGCTCACATACGACTGAAAGTTAAACCCCCTCACCCCTGGCTCCCATCCCTTCATAGGAAATTCCTAGCTCCAGCCTCCTTCCTAGTGTGGCTTGCTAGAGTGTCTTCATTCATAGTCTCCAGGAGAAAATAATCTGATTGATCATCTACCAGCCAATGGACTGGCTGCCTCAGAGTCAGGCACTCATCCCTTGTCCATCCAATCAGCTGTGGCTGAGGAGTTGGCAGAAGCCAAGTTTGGGTAAAGATGCCCAGAAAGGAAACTATTGTTTCCTGTTTCTGCACAACTACCCCCAAAACTTAGTGGTTTGGAGCCACAACCATTTACTGATACTCCGGCTTCTGGAACTAGGGCAGAGCTTGGTTAGAAGAGCAGCCTATCTCTGTCCTGTCGGGCATCCACCCGGGAGACCGCCGGGGCTGAAGACCCAAGGTGGCTTCTGACCATGTCCAGCATCTTATCAGGGGAGACTGGAAAGACTGGAGACTGCTGACGTCTCTTTCCACGTGGTCTGTCCAAGACTAGTTTAATGTCATCCTTGAGGCTTACCTCTACCACAGTGAAGCAGCCTGGCCCAGGACATCCTATACCAGCACCTGGGCTCCTTCTGTTGTCCAGGCACATCACAGGCTCACGGGCTTCAATGAGAGGACAGAGTCTGGTGCCTGATTGGAGGAGCTGCCTGGTCATTACTAGACATGTGGGACATGAAGAGTGTTGCATCCACATTGGAAGTCATGCCCCACAGGAACAGCTGTCATCCATTTGTCCTTGAAGGTAGCATTCTTTGGTGCACAGGCCTCTACAATTTTCCCAGGAGTAGGGGGCTCAGAGAGTGATAATAACTTGACCTAGGAGCTGCAACAGTAGAAAGCCAGGACCAGGACCTGCTTTGCTGGCCCCTGATCCAATGTCCTTTCTGTAAAGCTGAGGCAGAGGCAGGGGCAAAAATCGTTAACAGCCACTGCTTAGTGGAGGCTTGGACTGGGGACTAGACCACAAGCAATCCATCTTTTCTCTTTTTTAACTCCACCCTGAAGTATTCTAACACTTCCTTTTAGAGGCAAACCTGGAGGGTCAGAGGGTTGAAGGGATGCCCAGGCCCATCGCCAGACAGGTGCAAGAGGCTGGACTCACTTTGAACTGCTCCCAGTTCTAGCTTCCCATCCACAAAGTGTGCACAAGCCATGTCATGTCCTGAAGCCTCTCATTTGTGGATGGATGAGATGCTGGTAGC